CTCTCCTCAATTGCCGTGACTTTAGGCCTACAACGCTCAGGTAGGGATCTAAGAATCTTTCTCACTATCTTAGGTTCAGGGATTTTCTCACCTAGGTTGAAGGACGAATTTACTATGTCATTTAAGCTCGCATAAAAGACATCAAACATCTCATCGTCTCTCATTCTTATCTCTTCAAACCTAGTGGCCAACATTTGCAGCTTAGAACTCTTAACTGCCTGAGTTCCCTCATGTGTGGTTTCTAAAATATCCCAAACTTACTTTACTACCTCACACATGGACACTCTCCTAAACTCTTCGAGGAAAATTGCCATAAATAGAGCATGGAGGGCTTTGCTATTTAAATTACAGCTATCCAATTAAGCTCTAGACCAGTTCTCGACAGGGGTGGGAGTAACTACACCGTCTATTGTGGTACTAGGGGCTGACCAACCATTTACCACAATCTGCCAAACACGCTCATCTAAGGATTTCAAAAACGCCCTTATTCTCAACTTCCAATATGCATAATTGTTCCCATCAAAGTGGGGTGGCACATTCAACGACATACTCATATAGACTAATGTAAGGTCAAGATTTGCACTTAGGCTCTAATACCACTTGAAAGTTTAGGGAACGTTTTATAACCACTTGGAAATTCACAAAGAACGTTATGCTCCGTCAAATCCAAGTTTTAAATATTACCAAGTTTACGTTCCAATCAATTTACTATTCGACCTCACTGCGGAATTGATTAATCAAAGCAACACGTCACTTTAATTAATTATCTAGGTGATTAAATATATAGTCCAGTTAATTCCTATGTTGAACTATCGGTTCGCGTAAAGTAAATAAAATAATACAAAACACAACTCACGATATAATGACGAAAAAACCCCAACGTGGGTAAAATTTCAGGACCAAGCCAGTAAGTTCTACTATATCAATTCAGTAAGTACAAGTTCTGCCAAATTTCGTACCCAGTCAGACTCGTTGTTCCAGTCTCACGATCTACAGTCGTAGATACTACTAGCCTCCTGCTAGCTTCCCGATCTACCTCCAGCAGCCCAATCTGCTATCCAATACAGCCTCCTGGTCTTTAGCTGATTGTCTCACCAAGTGGAATTCCAAGAACCTCCTATTCTTGTCCAGTTCCCGCGCTTGTCGTCCACCTCCCTCAATCCCCCTTTGAAAGAGTCCTTTCCTCAACAAATGAAGAAGTACCGGTGTTTTGTCTTCACAAACTTTATGTTTTTCCCCAAAATATTGGTTGCCGAATCACAAGAATGAGATTGATAAATTCTCTGATTGGTTGTGTTCTTGGATCTCTTCACAATAATATGAATGTGTTCTAATATGAAAACACAATGAAACAACGCTTATTTTCGTTTACGGCCTTTGTATTTATAGTTGGGGGCAATTTGGAGTTCTAGGCCGTGTCAAATTTTCCTAAAATTGAACATACAATTTTTCATATAACACTGTCGCTCGAGTGAAAAGCGAGCGACAATACTTCGCTCGAGCGAAGTCCGGGCGAAGAGCCAACGACGTCCATTCTGTTTCTTCTCGCTCGAGCAGTGGCAGGGCGAACAGCTAGCGAACCTCCGGCACCGTGTTCTTGATTTTGACCTAACACTCAAAGCCAAGTCCCTACCATCTAGCTTTGCTAAATTTCACCCTAAGTCCCTGACTTTTATAACATTGTACAATTGAGTCCATAACTTTTACAAATTTACAATTTAGTCCTTTTGTCCATAGAATCGCCAATTACACATTTAGACCTAACAAACACCATTGACTAAAGATATCTATAATTATGGTCTATACTTGTCTCTCGAGAATGGTAAAGTATAAACGAGTTTAATATAAAAATACATAAATACAGATGATATAAGTTTTCTATGCGACAAATCAAGGGGACAAACAAACATTTACATAGACGTCAAAAAGTTTCTCAAAGTGTCCCCCAAACGAGAATCGTCAATCCTATATATAAATTGTGAAACGATACTTTTTTCCAAAAGTTATAACTTTTCATTAGGATCACAACACTTTGTATTTACAATTGCATAACTGAATCCATGTGAAAAGAGGAGATAAAATTGACTCGAGCATGAACAGGTGTGACAACGAGGGATGATGGCATGTAGAATCCCCACGTATCGCCCTCTAGTCGCCCTCATGCTATGGGTGGCTGGCACCAAGATTATGGTGTCCCCTACTCGCGCTCTTCGACCCTCCATGACTCCGACCATGTCCCAAATGATTTCACGATCATGCAAATATTTTTAACCTTCCAATAATGCCAAAACCCGACATTATTTTGAAAATGTTCTAACACAAAACAAAAAACTTGTTTTAACATTGTTTATAAATACACAAAATATTAGCATGACCAAATGCACATGTGAACTACCTAATATACACCAATACATTACTAAAATTTTGTTCGAGTTCTAACTCATGAAAACTTAAATTAGGAGGTACTACCTTCTTTTGATCTTATCATAAAGCTCTATTTGCGATTATGCAAAAAGTAGAACTAAATAATTTAATTAAACTCTCACATCATATAATGCCATTGCCAAATGTCGATTTCGGTTCAAAGAAGAAAATAAATAATCCGATACATAACTTTTTTCATTCTATATTATCACGCAAAATTCTATCGTGCTATAATTCTAACAACCAGTTATGCCGGATAATCTTCTTAGGATGATTTTGTTCGTCACATACAACATTACTAATCAATCATGATAATAATAACAATTAAAACCGGTTTACAGAATTAATTGTAAGTAATTAATTATACATTTTTACTTTTTTTCACACACTTCAACTCCAAAGATCCGTGTATATCAATAAACTCATTTTTAACCATACATTCTCTTATAAAATAATTTTACACGTAAATAAAAAAAATTGTAATTTTTTTTTCAAAATCTATTTTCCCCAAAAATGGGGCTTAAACAAAATATTAGTATGTTGTTCCTCAATAAATTTTGCTGACCGTTTGTACCTCTTTTCTTACTGTTTTTGACCTTTTAGCTAATTGTAACTTCTAAAAGATTACTTGTTTGAACAAAATGATCTAATAATCAAATAAGCGAACGGCCCATTCAAATGAGGCCCTAGCGATAGTCCTCAACAAGCACAGCGAAGAGCTCCCCTTTGGACGAAACTCAAGAAGAACAATAAAAATATTTGGTACATTGAACTGAGTAATAATAAATTCTACAGTTTTTGATGTTTAGTACAAAACATTACCTTTTGACTTTGAGTAATGCTATTTAGCCCCATTAAGGTTACAACATTAGTCTATGTGGCCTTAACGTGACATTAAATAATATGATTATTCAACCTATCATTTAGCGTCATCTAGATTAGGATTGTAATCTCAATGAGGCTGCACAAACTTGAGATCGTCTCCACTAGAGATGAATAATATTCTTCTTCTTTTTTTCTTTCAAATGGCAAGTTTTAAAATATTTTCATCATATCCACTATAAAGATATTGTAGATAATCTCCTTTAGAGATGCAATTTTAGAATATTTTAATTATATTCACCATCACATATATTGAAGATCATTGCATTACGTTGTCACACCACATAAGACGATGCGATCGTCCCACCAAAATTTTTCTCCTTCCAAATAGCGCCAAAGATAGCTTAAAAAATGCACTATAACAAAAAGTCATGAATAATATGCACCATAAATAGAAACAAGTTGTAGGCACCCACATAGTCAATTTATTGATCACCAGGGGGGCTCGAATAAAGCTGGCAAGCACATTCATAACCAATCGTTATCATACGCTAGTAACATAAACCCAATCACGAGATAAAAAAAATAAAATATATAAAAATAGAGTAATATTATTCATAGTCAACAATATGTGATAGCTTATCATTTGAAACATAAATTTCATATAGTTTTGTTATCTCAAATAACAAGATAAGCCTTAAATAACAAGTTATCACATGAGATGCTACTTTCGCCAACCATGAATAGCATTATTCATAAAAATATCAAACAAGATAACATTGCTTTGATAGCATATGGTACAAGATAACTAAACATAATCATACATATCAATCTTAGTACAACATTATGATATCACCAACACTAATTAATTTATACTTTAGCTTATTTTATGGGTTAAATTATTATTTGGATAAAGATACTTGTTCAGACGTATAGTAAGGTTGTATTTATTTTTAGTTTACTCAATGCAATACACATTATTATGGCAAAGAAGTGAGGATCCCATATCATTTTAGCAATTAATTATGCGAAGCATTGGCCCGCTAGCATAATGCGTGGAGTTTGTCTATAATGAATATTTATTTTCTCTAAACATGCATTCAATTCCTAATATTTTCCATGAAAAACGTCATTTTTCACTTAAATTCTTACTTTCATGTTGTCTGATCGATATTTTTTCATAAAATATATTTAAAATTTTCCAGTATTTAGTCATGTGACTATATTTTCCTTGAAAAGATGGAAAATATTCTTTAGGAGGAGTATATTTTTATTTTCCAGATAATTCTCTCTCTCTCTCTCTCATATACTTATTAATAAAAAATAATAATATTATTTGCAGTTGTTCATTACCGTAGTCACCCTACATGGCATACATATGACGATTAGTGATTTGTTGCATAAAATAATAAAAAATTATTACGTTAATGTATTAAATCATTAAATGCCACATGTATGCCACATAAGACGATTACGACAACGAGTGACTATAAATAGCATTAATCATGAAAAATAAACAAGTACAACATTTTTTATATTGAAAATAAAATCAATTAAACACGTTTGGTCGACAATTTTCATGCAAATAATTTTTAGGCAATTCAATTGCTTATAATTTATTTTCTTTTCATGTAAAATTTCATACTCGCAATCAAACACGCTCTAAAACCTAGAAGAGGAGAAAATAAAAACCCCTTCGTACTTGCATTTCAAAATTACCTAAGAAGAAAATGCAGAGATTAAATTCTGTATACTAAGAAAATAAAAACCCCTTCATATTTGCATTTCAAAATTACCTAAGAAGAAAATGCAGAGATTAAATTCTGTATATTACAATAAAAACATCTCCAACATAGGATTAAAATCAAAGAACGCCGCAAGGCAAGACAAGAGAGGGGAGGAAAATCCCAAGGAATCAACAATCAGACCTCTATACCAAAATACCTCAATTTCAGCAAATCTTATGATCTCATCGACCATCTGCAGATGCAAAAGAATCCGCGAACCCTGATGGCCGAGTGGGTATACTCGTTTGAGTGTTTTCAGTGCTACCATCCATGCCACTCATTCCCTCGAGAGCCTGCCATTTCTTCACTGCTTGAGGTAATGACATATCATAATCAATGCCATATATGTCTTCTGGATCAGTAGGTTCCGTTGGTTTCCAGAGCTCGGCAAGAGACGAAAGCACATTGACGGCATGACCCATGTCAGGCCTTTGATAAGGTTCCCGAGAGCAGCAGTAACCAGCCAGCTCAGCAACGGTATTGATACTAGCCAGAGTTTCTTCATCCAGATCAAGTGTTGGGTCAATGGCTTTGCGGAAGTGGTCCTTGTCGAGAAGCGCCCTTCGAAACCATGGGACCAGATGTTGTCTATCGTCCGGAACTGTTTCATCTAAAGCTTTTCTTCCTGTGATCATCTCCATTAGGATCACACCAAAGCTGAAGACGTCAATCTTAGTAGTCACTCGACCCGTCACTGTCCAACACGAGAACAAATTATTCTTAGATTTGTATTGGGGAAAAAGAAGCACAACAAATATCAATTAGCAAAGTAAAATTGAAACTCAATGCACAAAAATATTTGCAAATGGAAAGGAAATATAAACCTATGGTATTTTCTATCCTTAAAGAGGCACTACATAACTGTCATACAGGGGAAATATACAACATTGGCAATGCAGCTAATTTACTGTCTCGATTTGTTATTACATAAAGAAACATGGAGAACTTAAAAGGAGAAATAATCACATTTACAATCCCATAACAAAGGATACAAGAGATCTGAAGGTGTATCAAGGGACGAACTCCTTGATGTAAATACTCTAAACATTTCATCTCAACAAATCCAAAACCAATGCAGCCAAACAAAATATGGCTGCTGCCAATACCAAGTTTCAATTAGCAAATAAAAACAATCTATGATAACTGAACTTGTAAACCTATACAGAAATAGTTGAAAATATTCCAGCAAGAAGTTTAATCAATTTTCAAGTACTAATTGGACTGCATTATACGATGATATACGAAAAAAACATGGTTACTTAGAAGCAAGAAACTTTATTTATTACCTGCATATTCTGGGGCAAGATATCCAAAAGTTCCAGCTAATCTAGTAACAAGTGATGCTTTCCCATCCGGAGCAAGACGAACAAGTCCAAAATCTGCAACTTTAGCCCTCATATCGTCTCCCAGGAGTATGTTTGATGGTTTCAGATCCCTATGAATAAAACTTTGTTGTGCTAAACCATGTAAATATTCAACACCTCTGGCCACATCCAAAGCAATGGTCAACCTTTTTGTCCATTCAAGTGCTTTCAAACCTTCTTCCTTCCAGTTAAATAAATACCTACTAAGTGTCCCCTGAGGCATGTACTCATATACAAGCAGCCTCTCAGTTTCATCCAAGCCATATCCTAAAAGTGCAACCAAATGCCTATGTCGAACTTTTGTAAGAACAGCAATCTCAGACTTGAACTCATCCAAACCCTTCTCGCTCATCACTCCAGATTCCATCCGCTTAACTGCTATCTTAGTCGCATCAGGCAACTCCCCTTTATAAACTGTTCCAAATCCTCCTCTTCCCAATATATTATCTTGGCTGAAATTATTTGTCACTTCTTTCAGCAACTGAATAGAGATAATCATATTACCGGCCTCAATGATATGAATATCACTTGGACCACTGCTTCCGTGACTATAAGTCTCACTCGTTCCACCATTAATGCTTGAACCAGCAATAGTAATCTTGGCAGCATCTTCTGACTCCAAGTGCTGAGGATGTAAAACCCGGGCATTAGGAGATTGAACTCTACCAGAACGCTTGCATTTTGTTCTATAGAGACATAAAACCAAGGCCCCAGCAAAGACAAGTGCACAAACACCACCAATGACGGATCCCACCACCACTCCAGTAAATGATTTCTTTTCTCCATTACCCTTTGCTCCTCTACCACCATCAGAAGACGATCCACGTGAATTCCCAGAGGAGTTCCCACCAGGGGAATTTGTAGGTGGAGCATCCTTCCCGATATTAACATTTCCATCAGTCTTCACAAACACGTTACTTCTAAACATTGGAACTCTCCCATAAATCTGATTATTTGTAACGTCCAACTCTTTAAGGTTAGGTAAGTTGGCTAGTTCATTTGGAATAGTTCCGGTCAAATTGTTATTAGCCAATACCAACTTCTGCAGTGATGAGATATCCGAGAAATTAGGAGAAATCGTCCCAGTGAGACTCATTCTTTGAAAATTGATCACAGTAATGTTCACACCATTACAAGCGATCCCCATCCATATACATGGATCGTTCCCTTTCCAGTTCTCAGCAAATGTTATCGGATACCCCACGTCCTGAGCCACAGAAAGCAAAACATTAACTCGGGAATCACATTCAACCCCAGGAACAGGTAAACAGAAACTATTAGTTTTCTCCTTCATATCCACCTGCACTGAATTACTAAATTTCGGTGTTGGCCCTTGCAACATATTATTGGTTAAATTTACCACCATCAGTGATTTCAGTCCAACCAAAGATGCTGGTACCGGGCCTGTCAAACTATTATCCCTTAAACTCAATTTTTGCAACTGGGTTAAGCCTGAAAATTCCGGTAAGGGCCCTGAGAATGAATTTCCGTGCAACCAAACCTCAGTCAATTGAGTCATGTTTTGTAAAACAGCAATAGAACCATTTAATTTTGAATTACCATACTGGCCATTTAGCCATAAAGACTGTATGGATGAGCCAGACAATGTTGAAGGCAAAGGGCCTTCGAGATAATTGAAGGCTAAATGCAATTTTACCAGGCTCGAAAACGCATCGCCCACAAGAAAATCAGGTAATGTCCCGGAAATATTAGCAGAATTTGCTGAAAATGTTTGCAATGTCGATGCACTCTTAAGACTATCCGGAATTCCCCAGGACGAAAAGGGGTTATAATCCAAGTAAACTTGCTGTAACGAAGTCATACCATTAAAGAAATCAGGTGGTATAGAGGTGAAATTGTTGTTGTTGAGCAGGAGGGACTGGAGCGAAGACAAACCGGCGAGACTCGGGAGTGACCCAGTGAGTTCATTTAACTGTACTTCGAAGTACTGTAAAGAAGTGAGATTATTGAGGTTAGGTGGAAGAGACCCTTTGAGACCCTGACCCCCAATTTGGATCCGGGTGACCCGTTTATCATTTTTAGAGCACCGAACGTTCTTCCAGTTGCAGGGGTCCGAGTCAGTCCAACCGAGTGAACTCGGCGCGTTAATATTCTTCTTCAATTCTAGCATTACTCCAGCATCACCGGATTGGGAATTCCCAGTAGTGACCAAGAACAATAAAATGGCGAACAAAATTAACTTTGACACCATAGAAAAAGAATCCATGTCGATGTTCTTAAATTCAGGCCGCAGATCTTTAACACAACTGGCATCCAGAGGAAAGAAAACAAAAAATTAAAAAAGAAAAGAAAAGAAAAAAAGGACTGAAACACGGAACCCAAAGAATTCTTGCTCTTCTGAGTAGCGTTAATATTTTATGGAGAAAGGATAATGTGGGGTTCTAGAAAAGGAACTGGGGAGCGGGGTGGCGTGAGGGAAAAAGGGCTCTTTGAGAGCATATGAAACGGCGATAATGGAGGAGAAAAAGGGTTAGAATCTTGGAAAGTACCGTTGCTGCTCTGTGTGTAATGTGTATTCCGCCGTAAAAGTTGAGGGTGACGAAGAGGGAACGGAAACAAGTAAAGTTGGCTCACGCGTGTGGCGCCCAATGGGTTGGAGCCTCGATCCAATTTTAAGAGCATTTACTTTAATTTTGGATAATTTTCTGTAATTTGCTGTAAATCATTATTTTTTGAATTTTGCTATTTGCTGTCACTGTTTGTACACTGACATAATTCATTAATTTAAATATTTATATTTACTTTTCAAAAATAAACAGGTTACATAATGTATGGTGCTGTCAATTCGTCCAACATGTAAGGGTTGTTTGACACCCGATTCACTAGAGAAGCTACATTTAGGGTCTGTTTGGGAACGATTTTTTTTTCTAAAAAATTGATTTTTTGACCGTTATTTCACTATTTCAGCCGTCATATTTAACTTCTTCTCTCACAGGTGAACCCCGCTTTTCTCCTAACGATCAAAAAATCAATTCTCAAAATCACTCCCGATCAAGCTCTTAGTTAGAGTAGGGTCCTATCCATCAATTGTTATGGCAGTCCAGTCAAGCTTGAGCGTTATTCAAAAAAGTTTTTGATTTATATGTAATATCATTTTAATGAATAATATGTAATTAAAAATAAGAGAGGAAAAAATACATTTTGATAAAAATGGGAATCAAATGGGGCCATATATCGCCTCACTTGATGGTCTTTTTTTTGGGGATTTTCAATGTTTTAATTAGTGATTTTTTTTAGAATGAGTAATTAAAAGGTAAAGAAAAATTTTGAATTTATGTGCATAATATCTTACTTGTTGAATGTGTGATTAAAAATAAATATATATAAAAAAATTTTTTAAAATAAAGGATATCAAACATGGACATAATATAAAAAAGGGTGACTTATTGAATCACCAATAGGAATATAAAATGTAACTTTTACATATATTTATTTTTTTTCCCAAATTTGGAGAGATACTTATTGGGTTATTAGCGTATAAAGTTCATTGTTCAAAACATCTTCACCTTGTATTTTTTTTTTTTTATTATAGATTTTCATACTTATTTATACATTTCATTACGAAAATCATCATTTTCATCCGTTTTCTCAATAAAAAGCTATGAAATAAGTAATATACACTCTTATTTAAATTTAAACAATAAAGAATTAATTGCAACCATATTCTCAAATTTTTTTAAAAAGTGCTAACAATTCCTAAATAAATAATTAAAAAATTAGAAACAAAAATAAAAGGATTCCCTTTCTTTTTCCTCCCACAACCACCGTCGCCGCAGTCACCCACCACCACCATTATCCCCTTTGTCGTAGGCATCCACTTCCTTCCAAAATCCCTCAAATTCAATCTCACCATTGCAAACTGCTGAACTCCAAAGCAAGCAAGAGCGTGATTTTTTGTCTCATGGCCATTCGTCTCAGTCAAAAAATCGTGAATCAAAAATGGGTACTAAGAAGCTCAAGTTCAAGCTGAGAGATTTTACGAAACACCCTACTTTGGAGAAGGGATTGTGTTAAGGACTCTAAAAGGCCAAAGAAAAAGCTAGAGATCAATCAACGTTGAAAATTCTGAGAGAAAAATCGAATAATGATTCTAATAAGTGGTTATTTCAGAGACTGTGGAGTGAAGATGTGCACCCACTAATTCTAGCCTGACCCTGAAAGCTCCAGACTAGAACTTTAACATTGATCAACCACTTGCAGTAACAGTATTTATCTCAAGTAGAGATGCTTGGATTATCGTTCCAGTATTTATCAAGATCATGATTCAATTTGACATGGAGAATCATGTTATTATAATTAAAAAATGCGAAAATGTGTGATTGAAATAATATTAAATTATAGTTGAAAATGTAATTTGATGAAAAATGAGACTCAAACAAGGACATAGTATTTACATGAATGAATTAACAAGGACGGTATTAGAATGTGATGTGTACGAGAATAGTATTTTTTAAGAAGTTTAAAATTTCAATAGGAATAGAAATAGAGTGAGATAGAAATATAAACGAAAATTATCCAAACTCGTGGTTTTAAAAATTGATTATCATAAAACAAATTATTAAGAATTTTTTCCCCCCAAAATCATATGCTAATTACTTAAATCATCCCTCTCTTTCTCTCTCTGACCATTTCTTTCTCTCTTTAGTTTCATCACCGATTAAATGGAGATCGGTGAAAGTGACTGTTGACCTCTAAAAATGGCTCTTCCACGTGGCCAACTTGTAGCTACTCCACGTATTCCTCCCTACGAAATGAACAAACTGTCAGGCGCACACGGCCGGAACCAGCGGTGGTGGCGGCCGTATACACTCCGACGGTCAAGTCAGGTTTTGGGTGGTCGGAACAGTGTTCAGGGACTACACCAATCAATCAGTCAATAAAGGGGGAGGAGAATATATAAACTTATTATGGAGTGCTATCTATTGAGAGTTTCATTACCTTTGCCTCTGGCCAGTCTTTGGGTATTTATAGGTGGTATGAGCCGTGGGATGTGGAACACGTGTATACATCTGACGGTATGAAGCGTCTGCTCATAGGCGTCAATCAGCCGCGCTTGTAGAGTGGGCGGACAGTTTGTTTCCCCCGAGTTGAATTGACGTAAAGTTGATAAGTCACATCAAATGGCTTTATGGGGGACGTCACATCAATTTAAACCTTATATGCAGAGCAAATCTTAAATTGGCAGCGAATCTTCTAACGGGGGTTCAAGACGGGACGCTTCGGCAGATCCGTGGCAGGAATCGGTGTATCACTTCGGAGAGGCTTTGGGGGTCGGAGTGGTTCCGAGGCTCATAAAATGAGGCGTAACAGTGGTCCCCCAAATCTGAGAATGAATATTTATATTATACGTGGATTTGTTTTCCTGACTGGATCGCGGCATGGGGGTGGCTGAAACTTTGTAGAGCAATGGAAGAACGCAGGGCCGAGGCGATGAGCCGATGATACTCTCGCGTCGGGTTCGTTAAAGCGTTATATGAGTTTTTAGGGATTCGTCTTCATCGAAGCGTTGTCAGGAAGAGGGAGACGGCTCAAGCTTTGCAAAGCATGGGAGGGGGCGCAGCGACCGAGGCGATAACAAACGGGGCGCTTGCATCGGGCGCGTCCAGGCTTTGTAAAGTTGGGGGACTCGTTTCTCGCCGAAGCGTTGGCGGAAAAAAGGGTCGACGCGTGGGGAGATGGCTAGAACTTTGTAAAGCAATG